TTCACCTTTTGTTTTCTTAGTTCAGATTTCACAGGAAATTCATTGTTGAAGTTACTGTGGTTAGTAAAAAATTGTCGCTCTACATTACTTTTTTTAGGAACTTGGAAATATAGCTACTACCAATTTCCATTAGTGTACGACCCTCTTAATAACTTCTTATTGTTTGCGGCATCACTTTGTTGGGATTAAAGTAACTTTGATTCATATTGCCGATGAGTTTAGAAACTGGGGAACTTACGGTAAGCTGGGCCCCATAGTCATGTTCTTATTGTTTGCGGCATCGCTTTGTTGGGATTAAAGTAACTTTGATTCATATTGCCGATGAGTTTAGAAACTGGGGAACTTACGGTAAGCTGGGCCCCATAGTCATGTTCGTGTCGGTGAATATGTTTGCCCTGCCGATCACAGAAAATTTTAGGGTACCTAGACCATAAATCCGAAATCCATGAAAGCCGATTCAGTGAGGACTTGTGACTGTTTGAGGGGGGTAAAAATACCGCTAGGGAAAATTACCTGATCTTGAGAGGACGATGGTTTCTCTAGTGTAAAGAAGAATTAAGACTGGGGTTGTTAGCAAGGGAGAAAAGAAATAGGCATACATTTTCAAGCAATGTTTAATACTGTACCATGCTTCAAGGAAATTTTGTGAAAATATTTAACAGTACTCAGACGTTCAAACATGTCTCGTCTTACAATTTGAATTAATATTAAAAATCAGGTCAATTATATGGCCTTACAGAGGGCGCCAGAAAAATATATCACAGGCGCTGCATTGGACAGGGCTGCGCTAGCCTCTTAGTGTCGCTTGTGATCACACATTTTTCCAAACCTGTCTTCAGACATTATATTTGTGATTTTTTGGTGCAAAGTTTAATAACCCTTGCAAAATGTCCCCGAAGAAAGAGCCACAAAAAACAGCCATAAGAGAATAAAAATAACTGTAGAAATGAAACGTAAAATCATTGAAAAGCGAGAACGAGGTGTGAGCGTGGCTGATCTAGCATGCACATACAATCGGTCTACATCAACGATTTGCACTATCCTCGAGGAGGAGGAGGTAACAGCAAAGCAACAATCTTCTAGCGCAATAAGAGAAATGCTGAAAGCATGGGAAACTGTTGCATCATACATTGAGAAGCATCACCCTAATAAGGCAGTGGCTATGCCCGCTAAATTTATTTAATGATAATGCTGTGTCGCATTTTCACCAAATTTTGAAGCGTTGGCAAAAACAAATGTCTCTAGACAGCTTTCTAGTAAAAAAGCATTAGATATGTATCATAAACTAATTATTTCGATTTTTTTTTTTTTGTTTTCTGCAAATTGAATTCGCATTCCAGGGTGGTTCATTGCGCATAGAAGAAAAGGTGAAGATGATTCACGCTCCTTAACAATGTATATATAATTTTCTTTGAATAAATGTTATACATAACATTTTTTGAGTATTTTTTTTGGCATGGAACACATTGTATTTTACATTAATTTGTATGGGAAAAATTGTTTCGCATTACGAGTAAGATTCTGGTACGAATTATGCTCATTAAGCGAGGTTCCACTGTATAAACAAATGCATCAAGCAATGGTTTACTGTGGCCGCGCTATAGCTCAAGCAGCTAGTCGCTGGCTTCCCACCGCGGCGGCCCAGGTTCAATCCCGGGTCTGGTCAAGTGGGATTTGTGGTGGACAAAGTGGCACTGGGTCAGGTTTTCTCCAAGTACTTCAGTTTCCCCTGCAATCTTCATTCCACAAAATTCTCCATCATCGTAATCACCCGGGGCAGGCTACAATAGGCCAATCAGTGGCTGCCATGCTGAGTGGACCCCGTTGGACTCCCCCTACTAAGCGAATTAAAAAGAAAATGAATTAATTGAAGGGTTTACTGTATTTCCAAACTGAAAGTATATACTGATATATCTAGGCCAGCTTTTAAGAAAACTGTTATCAATATGGGTATTAAACTGTATAACAGACTGCCTTTGGAATTAAGAAAATCAGATGGATCTAATGACTTTAAACATGGGCTAAAAGTTTTTTTACTAGATCGTCCATTCTATACATTCTACAAGAATGGCTGCCGTATCTTAACGTGTTCGGTGATTGACATGGTCATATGTAGGAGCTGAGCCCTTCTTGAGATGCTGCCAGTTGTGCAGCTACTCAAGAACTTTCTAACATTTTATTGAACCCAAAGGTTCATTACCTTGTTCACAAGAGCCATATCCTGAGCCAGATCAATCCAGTCCACACCACCCCATCCTATGTCTCTTAAGATCCAATTTTAATATTTTTCATTTCATGCATCCTGTTGTGTTATAATACACAATTTCCTTATTAAAACCCATCATAACACAACAATGTCAAGGTCAAGATCAAGATTGGCTTGGCTACATGTTTCGACTATTAAAGCCATCATCAGCAAATACATGATTAACACATTCACACCACTGAACTGCAGTGCTGGTAAAACTGGATACATGATAATTATTACATTATAAAATGCGTGGCACAAAAGTACAATGAACTATAAACTTATCATAAAAACGAAAGTTATAGGGTAAAACAAGGTTAAGACTCTTCATGTGATGTTTTATATCATCAGGTCAGTTGTTGGTTGTTGCAATTTTGTTATATTCCCACAGACCTAATGATATATTCTAGATTTTTACATGTAGTAAACTGCTTTGGAGGCCCATGGTATGGATGTAGTATAGTATTAACGTTAATTGTTTTGAGGGGCAGTTTATATTCCCTACAGAATGGACAAATACATTGTAAGATGAGGCAGTCAAACAATTAACGTCAATACTATATTACATCCATACCACGGGCCTCCAAAGCAGTTTATTACATGTACACAAAATCTAGAATATACCATTACGTCTGAGGGAATATAACAAAATTGCAACAACCAACAACCGACTTGATGATGTAAAACATCACATGAAGAGTCTTAACCTCGTTTTACCCTATAACTTTCGTTTTTATAACAAGTTTATAGTTCACTGTACTTTTATGCCAAGCATTTTATAATGTAATAATTATCATGTACCCAGTTTTACCAGCACTGCAGTTCAGTGGTGTGAATGTGGTAATCATGTATTTGCCTGATGATGGCTTTAATAGCTGAACCAATCTTGGCCTTGACCTTGATACTGTTGTGTTGTGATGGATTTTAATATGGAAATTGTGCATTTTAACATTACCCACCAACCTATGTCTTGGCCTTCCTAGTGGTCTCCTTCCTTCTGGCTTTCCCACCAATATCCTATTTGCATTCCTCTTCTCCCCCAACTGTGCTACATGCCCTGTCCATCTCATCCTCCTTGATTTGATCATTCTAATTATACTTTGTAAAGAGTCAAGTTATGAAGCTCCTCACTGTGCAGTTTTCTCCAATGTCCCATCACTTTATCCCTCTTTGGTCCAAATATTCTCCTCAACACCCTGTTCTCAAACACCCTCAGTCTATGTTCCTCCCTTTAGAGAACCTCAGGCAAAATTATAGATCTGTATATTTTAGTTTTTACATTTTTAGCAGAGAACACAAAAGGTTCTGGACTGAACTGTACCAAGCATTACCCAAATTCGATCTCCTTTTAATTACCTCCTGAATCAGGTTTTGATTTGTTTCTGTCATTCCCAAATATTCCAACTGTGCCACATTTTCAAATATGTTAGCTATCTTTACATCATGGTTTTTCCTCAATTTCTGGTGATGAGACAGCAACTTATACTTAAGTTTTCTATGCATTTACTAGACCAACCTCCCTATTAGCATCATTAAAGTTTCTGCGTTTTTCTTTAAGGTATCTATGTTATCACCCAGTAGATTCACATCAGCAGCTGATGTGGCCCATTTAATTTCAGGACCTTCCTCATGTCATATTCTAAAGCAAAGTTGAGTTGAAAAGCAGTGGCAATAATTTAAAATAATATATATGTACAATATATGAGACTACCAAAATTATCATACTTGCATAACCCCGAAGGACAGAGAGATGCTGGAAGACTCAGGAGTTATGTGATAGGGAAAGTTTTAAAACTTTTGAACACTGGAACAAACACGCTTGCAGCACCCAGCTGCTAGTGTTTATAAAAGAATACACTGAAATTCCTAGAATGCAGTTACTATTACAAATACTGTTCTGATAGATTTTACATTAGTTGTTTAAAAATGTCCTCTCAGAGCCTGGACCAAAACTGAAATCTCAGTATGGGGGAGGGAAGAGCCTGTTGCCAAGAAACTGAACTCGCAGAAAAAAAAAAAAGTAAAGCTATCCCTGTACCAGGCAGTGAAGGCCCATAGGGTTGTGAGACGTTGAGGGTCCCACATTATCTAGATAATTGGCTCAAAGATGGCGGTAAGGTTATCAGCCTAACGCGCCGGCCGCTTTACTCCCCAGGAATATTATTTTAATTAATTCCTGGTACTCAGTTCTGTTAGAGGCTGAGTCAACCCCAGGGCCACAGTGCACCTAGAAGGATTAGGTCAATTGAAAAAAATTCAATGACCTCATCAGGACTTGAACCCACAATCTTCCAGTTTGTAGCATACCCACTCGCAGTAACACTTGTTAAGTTGAATCATGTATACTATATATTTCTTAGAGAAACAATCTTCTTTAGGTTGCATATAGACTGCATATCACTGACAAACTTGGAATTACATTTCTTTCATCGTCATTGTGGTTAACATTGAAGCAAGACATTCACCTAAATAATATTTAATAATTCGGTGCCTATCTCACAGAATAATCCGTATCCTGTACACAGCTCAACAGGTTAATACTGTTTAGGGAGATTATCACTGCCTACTTTCAGAATATCTATTAATGCACTGTGGGCAAAATGCAGAGTTTTTAAATTTCAGAGGTTGTGGTACATATAGTAACCACTGTGTTTTAAAGGGTTAATGCACAACCTAAAGAATCATTCTTAGAGAATGTCTCTGATATATCCTTCAGGAACAGTAACAATATTTGGTTAACTTGATCACCTACAAATTTGCACTTCTTTGTTTGAAGCATACGTATGGACAAATGCGCCATACTCTTTCATGATTTGACCATCACAGTTTCAATATACCCTTCACTGGTCATTACAAATAATGATAAATATGATACAAGTTATAGCACCATAGTGGGTGCAAATGGAAACTGGAAACAACTGTCAAAAATACATAATTTTTCTGTAGTTTTACAACCAAGGCTAGGTTCACACTCTGAGAAAAAAAAATCAGACAAATTTCAAGACTATGACCTCATCTGATTTTTCTAATAGGGACAGATTGATGTACATTAGAAACAGTCTCGTTTTAAACTAGTCTGAAATTCCAAAAAACACAGTATACCTAATTGCCTAAGTACTCTGTCCAGTAATCATCTGGGTCCTAGATGGAAGCTTCGTTTTCTGTGTGATTTCCTTTCTCTTAACGCGAGGTATTCTTTTCTTCTGACGCTGGATCTTAGTTCTAGAATATGGTTTATTTTCTGCACAATTTCTTCAGCAGTTCGATGTTCTGCCTCAAAGTCATGGTGCTTGTAGCTGGCGAGATCAGAGTGGTGCTGCAAAGATTCAGCTTGCTCTCCTGAAGCGGCACTTGAATGATGGTAAACAAGGCGGAATATAGAACGACTGTTGGCCTTGGCATCTATGAGATCACAAGCTGCTATGTTATCCATGTCATAACTAACGGCTTTCTGTCGGTTCCAGAACTTGGCGCTGACCTTCTGCTGCATAACTGGGTCAATTTCAACTTTCTCACCAGACACACCTGCAAACATTTACACCACATAGATACTGTTAATGATTGTATGGACTGGCTTCTTCATGGCTGTTTCAAGCATTTCTTTACCCGGAATTTTAACATTTTAACTGGCATTCCCCATATTCATTCAAACAGAGATCCATTTCCTTCACTAATCTCTAACCATTTTTAGTCAGCATGCAACCCTCAAGTTTTACAAAACTTTTCCATGCATGTTTTGAGAATCTTACAGTGATGACTATGAAAATTAATATCTTCTGGAATATGGATAGCTCAGTAGGTATAGTAACAGGCTATGGGCTGGATGGTTAAGGTTTGATTCCCAGCAGGGACAAGGTTTTATCTTTACTCGCAGTGTCCACACTGGCTCTGGGGCTCAACCAGCCTCCTACCCAATGGGTACTTCAGGCTCAACCCTGGAGGTAAAGCGGATGGGGGCATGAAGCTGACCACTCACCTCTATCCATCCCAAAGCCAAGAATGGTGGGGCTATACATTCACTCTTAATGGCATGGTGTTTAATTAAGCACACAGGGATGACTTTACCTTACATTTTACATCATGCAGACTGGTAAAATGTTACCGACATTTAAGAGGTTACTCTGCTACCCTGATGACAGAGATAGCAGATTCCTCCTGACATGCTTGTAACACTGTTAACAGACTACATGGTGTCACATCCCAGAAGACATTCCCACCTCTGCACTGAACTCTTTGACTGAAAAAGGCATGTAGCATCTCATCATTCCTATACTCACACTTCAGCTCCTCTGACAGCTAACACCCATACTTCAGCACTGTCCTTCACATTCACATGCAGAGTGATCAAATATTTTCTAGACTGGTTAAGCTAACAGTACCTTACCTTGTAAACAATTCTATGGCTAGACAATGGTATGAAATCATTTTCTGTTAATCTCAAAACCTTCACTTACATAGTATTCAGAAGTGACACCTTGCAATTTAATCTTAACACTTAAAAGTGGGAGATTTCAAATGACCTGATACTACTACGCTGTTGGTCATGTTTTGTCTTGCGTGCTATGGTATTATTATTGAAGAAAAAGCAGTAACTGGCTAGTTAGTTAGTTACTGGAGAGGGTGGGTTTCCCCATGCACTTAGACCTGTATTGGTCCATTGTGCTTCCCTCTATGATATTCTTCCAGTCTCTATACCCTACCAATACTAGTGCGTCCCATCAGTCCCGACCGAGCCAGCGAGTTCGGCCTCCACTAGCTTGGCGGTATCTATAATGCTTCCCCCATCTATCAGAGGCATTAGAGACTACTGTTGGGCGAGAAACGTCCTTGAATTTGGCTCAGTGACCTCCTTTGGAGATACGAGGTTCTTTTACGTGCCGTAAAGCTACGACACAGGACACGGCTTAAAGTCCCTCCCAGAGGACTTGTTCCCTGAATTTTTCCGCCCTTAAAAATTCGACGACCTCCGCTGGGTTTGAACCCGCGTACCACGAGTCATGAGGTGGGAACATTACCTCTAGACTACGGAGGCCACTCAGTAACTGGCTAACTGGAGCACACATATTTACTGTTACTGTAATGAAACACACAGCCAGGACAGATTAAAGTCACACAGTTCTAGCTGTGATTCTTGTACTTCAAAAAACAGTTCAAAGAGTGGTCAGTGTGTCATGAATCACATTCTGTTTCAAACTACATAAAACTGCTATGGAAACCCACAGCTGTTAAAACTTGCTCTTAAGAGAGAAAAAATTAAAGTGGTTTTTAAAATTTGAAATTGGAACAACCTCTGTTGTGTTGCTGAATACACAGAAAATCCACCAATCAGCAAATCATATGAACAGATTATGTACATTAAGCACTTCTTAAAGAATATAGATGCCTCACTATCCATCAGTTTGCTAATGAGGTGGTGATGTAATGTAGATCATGCCACGCAATCTTATGCAAAATCTGAACACTGCCACCACATCTGTACCTCATCTGCTGACTGAGTAGCAAAAGCAGAATTGGATCAGCATGTGTTGGCATCTTCAGGAAAGACTTCAAAGACCCACACTTCCTAAGGTCCATTAGAAGTGGCAAGACATGAGTTTATGGGTACAACCACAAAACAAAGCAACAAGAGAACACTATTACAGCTCTTATAAATAAAACCCTCATGGATTTTGAAGCATTGATTGCAAACAGTTTTCACGAATTTGCAAATAAAGTAGTATGGAATAATGGTTATACTCAGGTAGTAAGAGGCCCGACAAGAGAAGACGCTTTGCTGGACATTTACCTCCTCAGACCAGATAATGTGCTTACCTCTTGTAACACTGTACCTGGAATCAGTGATCATAGCAGGGTATTATTGGAAGTAGAATGGGATGAAATTCATCAACAGCAAAAATAGGACAGTCCCATTATACCACAAGACAGACATTTCAGATTTACAAACCTTTCTTTGGGAAAAGTTTACCTCATGGGTTGGAAAAATTAGCTCTGTAAGGAAGATATGGAAAAGTTATAAGTGCATAGTTTTTTAGGGTACTGAATGTTTTGTGCCTCATAAAATTTTGAGTAAAAATTAATGTACTATAATAGAGCAGTTAAACAGTTAAAGGTAAAAGTGAGGAGGGTGTACAGTAAGATGTAATTTGGAGGGTATTACCAAGAGGAGTTAAGCATTTATCTAAGGAGTTACTGGTAGCAAGAAGGAAGTCTCAGGAGACTTTCTTATGTTCACTACTACAAAACAGAAGTAAATGCCGGACAGAGTTCTTCAAGTATGCTAAAAGATGCCAAGTAAATAGAGCTTTAATTGTTTCTTGCATCCTGTTGTGTATTTAATCAATATTAGGGTTAATTTCACCGACCACGCAACATGTTTTTATTATTGTCACACTACATGTTTCGACCTCAAGAGGTATTCCTCAGGTGTACGAACACAGTTGCACAATCACACGCAATCACATTTGTTTTCCACTTATTTCTATCCTGTATCCTGTTCAGGCCTACGCTCAATAATATATGTCAAGTTCTTCTTATAAAATACAAGTTAAAATACTACTCGAATGTTAAAAGTTAAAATTTAAAAATTTAAAAACATTTAATTTTTTTT